CACCTCAACCCCGTGACGAGAACCCCTGCGCCCTCCCACCCCCGTGACCCAAACCGCTGCGCTCCCCCGTGACGCGAACCCCTGCACCCCCAAACACCCCACTTTCCCGCCGTGACCGGAACTGCCGCGCCTCCCCTGCGACCTGAGCCTCGGTTTCCTCATTTTAAAATCTCAGTAGCAGCATCTTGGTTGGGTGGCCGAAACAGCCTGTGGAGGGCCATGTCCTAGAAGGGCCTGTCCTTAGAGGCAGAGGCAGGCCCTAAGCTTTCCATGTAAGGAAGGCCGACTTGACACACGTTTGTTGGGGACTCGAAGGAGGAGTAGACCCTATGCGGGCTGGGCCAGACGAGTGAGTGTCTTCATGGCAGAGGGGGCCTCTGTCCCCAGCTTTAATGAATGATTAGGTTTCTCAAATAGGTGGGTGGATTTTGTCAGTTAATATTGTACTCATTTAAAGCCTCCTTCAAACTTCAGCTCCATAAAGCCACGCCCTTCCCCCCACCCTCCACCCCAGTGATTAAGTTTTCCCCACGGTCCTTGAGTCCCTCGCGTGGTGTGCTGTGGAGTTAAGAGCAGTTTGTAACTATTCTCGGTTCTCTACTGTGGCGCTCTGATGCTCTCTGCTTGTTTTAAAGTTCCCAGCTTGCAAGTCCGTCCTTCACGCACTTCCGTAAAGCCAGGGGAATCCTGGATCTTCCTCATTTATAAGGCCCCACATTTATTGGTGGGGCAACACCTACTAATAACAGAAGCATCTTAAGTATGATTAGTATTGGGGCTGCGGCTGAAAGGTCTCAGAGTCAAGCCTTCATTGAGCCAGCAAACACCGAGGGCCACAATGGGTTGAAAGCTCTGCCGGGCACTGGCAGCGCTGTCTGCCACGACGAAGTCACAGTCCCTGGGGCAGAACACGATCTCGATGCCATGTGACGGGTTCAAGAGAACAAACGATTGTTTGCAAATACAAGTAAAAAATAATAGGCACCACCGACCTTCCCTGGGCACGTGGCGTGTGCCGGGCACAAGGCTGAGTGCTCGCACGCCTTACTCCACGGGAGCCTCTCACGGACCCTTGGTGCTTCTTATCATCCACTTTACAGACGAGAAAGTCGAGCCATCAAGAGATGAAACTACTCACCCGAAGTTACGGATCTTGGAAGTGTCGAGAACAGAATTCGAATCCGGGCCTGACTTCCGGAGTCCGTGTTCGAAAATCACTTTATGGCCTCCCAAGCCAATGAAAGAGCCTATCCGACAGGCGTCATAACTCACAGAGCAGAGCCCGGCACGTCACTGCCAAGCAACTGGTCTTTGCCAGACAGCTACACACGAGACACATGCAGGGACTGTGGGGGGCATGAACATGGATCACACTGTCCCTGTCCTCACGGAGCTCACGGTCTCCTGAGAGATGCAGTGTATACAAATCGATACATTTAATTCAAAGAATGCTGTGATAGGCCTGTCGTCCAGCCGGGAAACACGAGCGGAATTCTTGCTGGAAGCAGTAGGCCTGGACCCCGAAGGACGAGTAGGCTTTAGGGGAGCAAATGTGGGCGAGGCCGCTGGTGACATGGGCACTACCAGGCTTAACGGCATTAGGCCTGACAGATCTGACCAGGGCTTTCGACTGACTATCATCACAATAGGAGAGCGGCAAACTGTAGCTGCTTTAAGAAAAAAATAAAAACCTAGAACGTGAGGCCAAAACGCAAAGGCAACAAAAGTAAAACTAGATAAACTAGACCACGTCCAAACTCAAAACTTCTGGGCATCAGCCGTGAAAAGACAACCCGCAGAATGGGAGAAATTGTTGCGAAGTTTGTATATCTGATAAGGGATCCATATCCAGAATATATAGAAACAAATCCTAAAACTTAACCACAAAAGAAACCTAAATAACCCAGTTTAAAACACGCAAAGGACAACGGCTTGGGCGCCTGGGCTAGGGAGTCATTTGGGAAGTGACCGAGGGTTATGTATAAGGGGGGGTCGCTCCTTTCTTCCTGAGTCTCCTGCCCTGGGTACCCACAACCCCCCTTTCTCGCCAGGGTCTCTTATCCGCAGGAAGCGTCTTAGGCTCCCCCGTGAGCGTCTCCCCACCTTCTGTCACCTTCAATGAGGCTTTTTCTACTCTTCTTTCCATAAGTCAAATGTCTGTCCGCCCCGGCTGGGACTTTATCATTTGGACAGTTCTAAAAGCCACCGGCGCCGGGATCCCATTCCCCAAAACACCTCGCCAGGTCTGTGGCGTGACCCACGCAACCTGGCTTCCTATCAGTCCCCCCGGGGGGTTCTCACGCACAGCCGAGGAGAGCACCCCGCACTACGCCCTGCCCCTGGTCAGTCTCATCTCCTGAGGCCACAGTCACTGCATTCCT